CGATTTTTGGAGTCCAATGTGGTAGGAAACGTTTTTCGACATGATCTACCTTTTTGCAAGACCACAGTCTATCAGAGAGAGGGTAGAACAAGACTGCGCGAATCTGAGGATCTGTGCTCAATATTCTTATTGAGTTTGCCATGATTACCTGTAACGTTGGTGCCACTGTCCACAGCTCAGAAAAAACCATCCGCACCGACGGCCAGCGTTGGGTTGGGAGGGAGGAATCTTTTGTGGGCTGCAAGTGAGCTGGGCCCTGCTGGATATGTTGTACCGTTTCTACTGTCGTTTAGACGGGCTTTTCCTTTGCCAAGATATCTTTTGCATTCTTAATATCATAAATTACTTTCCCCATTTGTTTGCTCTTCACCCGTTAATGGATTGCAATGTGCCTTGACTATTATTGGTTGTTGCTGAATTGAAGTGAGTTTGGTGTCCCAAGACGTCAGTCACCTTGAGAATCCATGGATGGCTAACAGCAGCTGGCTAAGCAATCCCCAACTCTATCATTCCGACCGGAGCTGGAGGAGTTGATGATGATATGCTGGAGCCAGTCCACACAATGTGAGCATTCATCACAGCTGTACGGCCATTCAGCCAGACTGGCATCCCTTTTACGCTTCCCAACAGAAACAATCGACGGCTAAAGAGACCCAACTTAAGATGTTGTCGTAGGAGTTAATTTCCTTTCTGCCTGTGAGACTTGTGTGGCCCACACTGATCTGACCTAGATACCGGCCTAAGTAGCTCAGTTGCATGCTTGTCCTCCTGTGGGTAGACCATAACCTTACGGACTCGAACATTGTCATTCTTGACCTGTGTACCAACTAATTCACGTCACCAGGCTCAGTCAGTCGTCATATCAACATCACAGAAAGAAGAACGGCCTCGCAGGCACGCCTCAGACCAGGCCTGAAAACCCTAATTCTCAGACCACGGGAAGAAGATTGGACCGTTGATGTTGTTTCAATCCACAACACAGTACGATTCTACGTTGTGAGCTGTTGGAGTCTGTGTATTTGTTCAAGTCACAAAAGACAAAATGATTTGCCAGCCAAACGAACAATCTCTTTAATTATACTGGCAGAACGAACCTCTCGTGCTTGACTTCTTTAGCATGGCAGAGAAAATCTATTCGCAGTGGTATATTGTGGAGGATAGCATTGGGGACTTAATGCGGACCTGTGTCGGGATGGAAAGCCTGCTGCACAACCCCCCACCACAGCACACCGGGGGTCTAGACGTCAAGGCCAACACCAAACACACTAACTAGGTACTTGACCATCCATTACCAGTTGGCCCGTTAGGCCTGAACAATTCGAATATGTTCTAAAATGTGGACGTTAGACTGGAAAGCCCAAGTCGGGGCTAGTAGGGGTCGTCGCACTTGATGTAGGTAATTCTGACGTAGACGACCCTGAGCCGCGTCTGGCAAGCAAGACTGTTAAATATTGTTTGTATGCCAATCTCAACCTTCAATTATCCTTGGCAGTCCACACAAACACACTCAAACTTTCTAGTAAAAAGAAACAAGAATATGTCTGCCTTTCGAACCAACCTGCTCCGCTCGACTTTGTCTCGCCGGCTGGCCACATCCGCACCAAGAAGATCGTACGCCTCCCACGGTGGCCCAGAGTATCCAACACCGAAAGCAGAAGGCTTCAAAGGCGTTCCTATGTGAGTCCCCTTCCAGATGGGCTCGTTCAATGCTTATGGTTACTCTTTGAAGTCATAAGAAGCGAGGCTTTGTACTGACAACTCATGCTATGTCACACAGCGCAATAGGCATCGTCGCTGTCGTAGTTCCAGGAGGTCTGTACCTTTTGAACAGCAAGCAGGAGCATATCCCACACAATGACCACGAGGGCCAAAAGGGTATTCACACCAAATTGACGGCAGTCGAAAAAAGCAAGAAGGCGGGAGTGGGTGGAAAACTACACGGGATCGACGATGTCGTGACGACCAAGCCCGAAGATGTCGATCATCACTTGCCTGTGGATGCATTGAACCACCCAGTCAACAGAGAGAAGGTGCGTGATGAACTGAGAGACGAAGCGTATTGCGCTGTTAACCCTGCTTTGCCGTGTGAACACTCGCTAATTTTACACTTTTGGTCCCAGCTCGAGGCGACAATGCGGATGAAGCCCCCATCAAAACGAGTTGATCCAATTAAGAGTGTCAGAGACTAGTGTACGATAAGCAGCAGGCTTTCAAGGGACTTGTTGACCCTATTTTTTAGCTCACTCTTCCCGATATGACTCTTAGTCCTGGGATGAGACACAACATCGAATTTCGATCAAGATATTCGTACCATGGCGCAAGCAGTGACTGAAGACATCGCTGCTCGGTGCGGCCCACCTGCTGTTTGGCTTGCCAGACTGGTTAATGCTGTTGCTTTAAAACCTAATATACCGCCTTGAGCTGCCTTGACTTCGAACTCGCCCACCAATTGCTTGTGTGATTTGTGACGCTTTGCCACGGTCATTGGCTCCTTGCCATGTTCTTAGCCATCCACCAGCACGCTCCAAGCGCCGGGAAAATAGCTTTGAGTTTGGCGATCCAGAACGAACGTATGCGCTTTTGCAATTGTCGTGGTCGGTTTTGGAATCATACGTGACGGCCATGGCAATTCAGACCTACATCCCCGGCATTCGTGGTTTAGGCAGACTGGAGCTCCAAGGTGTTGAAGTAGTGCCTGATACTCGTAGACTAAGCCAGGCGCTTCATCCATGTAAAGTGCTTACTTGGATCCCGTGCTAAGACCCGCATTGCCTCCACGTCTTCTGCATTCTCGCCGTATTCGATGATGCCTGCCTCGACGGCCAAATTGGCAAACTTTCGCGCGTTTTTTGCATCGCCGAATAGGTTGTAATTCAAGGCAGCCAGAACATAAGCTCCATGATCTTTCGCATCCAGTCTCTCCTTTCGATATAATTCAATAAGTCGCTCAACCATCTTGACGGAAGCCTTGCTGCTGGTAAAGTCTCCCAACTCAGCCTCCAGCTCGTCGATCTCGTACAACCGCGCGTCCGAGTCACGAATACCCTCTTCAGACATGCTGCAATGTTGACAAGTACATTGAAACCCCCAAGACCGCAATATGTGCTGCTGGCGTACGGCGTGGGTCTCGAAGGGGTTCATGTATGAAAGGGTCAGTTCCTCGCCGGCCGGGATGTCACGCACCGCGTGGGTATGGTGCGTAAGCTTCTCATCGATCCTGAAGGCTACATTTGGACGGCAGTCGTGGTTGAAGCGCGACACATCGGGGAAATTGCCAAGATGATGACCCTCATCGCCATCCTCGCCCACGTCCATCTGGAAGGCGTTCGTCAACAGGATGTCGCTTACACGGTGCCCTCCGAATTGGCCCAGTTGTTGCAAGAAAGCGCGCCTTCGTGGAGCAGGAAGCTTGTTCAAGGCTGCGTCCAATATGTACCGCAAGTCATCGGGCTCAAGATCGTCTGTGAGCTTTCGGTGAATCATGAACGTGGGCTGCCAGGTCATGATGGGCTCACCGCGCTTGATGGTGCGGTTCGCTACCAGACCGGTTCCTTTCCCCGGTACCTCTGTGGCATAGAAGGGCGGCGGACCAGTCCTTGTCCCTGTAGTTTCTGGCAAATTTGAGATCCTCTTGGCATTTTCTCTGTTCGTGATGACCACAATGCCCCCAGCGAACCGACGATGAGAGTACACGCAATAGTCGCCTGTGCAATGTTTTGGGCCGTCCCAGTCTGTCTGATTCGAGCCTGCCGAAGACCCAGGGAGAGGATGAAGACTTGGCCTCGTCACTACATCTTGTCCCGAATGATCCGCTACTGACGCGCAGTAGCTGTCTGTATTGGACAGGATTGAATTCCACGCACAAAAGCCTATTATCTCTGGCTCTGTGAAGCCATAACCCAGCCCGATGATGGCCGCAAGAACTACGCCCGAGAGCATGATGAGCAAATGAACAAAGGTTCCGAAGAGTTGCTGAAAACTTGCTCAAGGTGGAATTACTTGACCTGTATCTTCCTCAAGACTGCACATGGCATCGACACAACTCAAGATCGAGGTTAGAGTGATCTACGGCCAAGACGTTTCAACCTCGTCTTCGAGTCCCTGCAGGGCGGCGGCCGTGCCACAAGGGCGCTCCCGCTAACACCCATTCCTGAAATCGATCTGTGCAATAAATCATTCTGTAGAATTTGTATGCCTCACTCGTTGCACGTATGCTAATCAGCAGTGTTCCCCGTCTGTCGGTCTCAGATTTTGCCTGGCAGTCGGTCACAAATCGCCGCGGTGGTGCTAACAACGTGCACTACTCGTGAGTGAGAACCCCTAAGTGTGAAAGCTAATAATCCGGGGAAAGGACTAAATGGCGAGATCATGTAATTTTTCGACTATGTTGACGCAAATAGTGTAGAGAGTCAAAATAAACCTGCTTTCGGGCCTGGGGGAGGGAGTGAATGAATTGCTTCTTGATTATCATGGGAGGTTGTCTTCAGGGTTTGGGCGGGTGTGACCAATGGTGCGCTAATGCAAAACGGGCCGCGGAGCCGCAATGTTGGTTGAGCCGCTCCCGTCTCAACACCATTATTTCGAATACCACGATACGTCCTCCTTGATTTGCAGCTGAATGCGAGATTGACTGAGGACGGAAAAAAAATGTAAGATAGACCTCGATGCAAAAGGTCAATTTCATGCTTTTCGTCCAATTGAACCAAAATTGGGGTCAATTGAGAAGCGGGCACACGAGAGAATCTGTACCAATGACGGCTCTCGCCTTTCATCATCAATTCTCCTCCGCGTCTTAAGACATGGTGGGATCTTCAAGATACTATGGTCGACTTAATTGTATGCCTTATGTCTTAAATTTCGAGGTTCTTACTATGGTAGAATCAACTGCCTAGTATCTGATTGGTAGCTCGTGGATCACCCCACTACCATCTCTAGGAACCTCCACTTTGAAAATTTTGACTTTATAATTAAGCTTTTTCCGAGCAGCTCCAACAAACACCGGGGATGTGGTCTAGTGGTATGATTTTCCCTTAGCACCTTGATGCCAGATCATGGGAAAGGTCCCGAGTTCAATTCTTGGCGTCTCCAGTTGTTTTTGCTTTTCCCTGGAAGATTAGGGCCAAATTTTATTTTTGTCGCTACATGCATCAATACGCACTTTGGTACTGTAGGAATGAGCCTTCTTCATCATTCCATCCTGGCGATGCGAGACTGTCGTGCAAATGACACAAGAACGGGAGAAGGGGGGGTAGATGGGTGGGGGGACACTTGCCCCTCTACCACAGTGGTCCAACCCCCCTGTTTCCTGCCTGCTACGTATTGATATCTCTCTTTATGTAGAACTTCATATTAATTTGGATTATTTTTTTCGAATTTCTCATAATGTTTATGTTCCGGCTGTTGTCTACTAATATATCGGTCCACGATGACCTTCCTGCCCCAACTACCGCGAAATCACGGCATCAACCGAGGCTCGAAGCTAGTTAGACTTGCGCACACGATACCTCACAGGAAACTACCAGAGCACACTGCATGCATCAGAATAATCAAACATCAACTGGGCAAGTCAAATAGCCGAGCAACAGTGGATGCTAATGTTTTACTGGAATAATGTAAGTGCAAGCAAAGGCTGTTGCTGAGAAAGAATGGCTGTAGTTGGACCGCATGTGAGCAAGGGCTGTATTAGCAAACTTACCCAGCTTACCGTCGAAGTGATAAGCCGGCTTTCATCTGAATACGCCTAATTTGAAGAGGATTGTTGTGAAACCCATAGCACTACATGGTCACCCGTATTGACTATTTTGCTGGAGGACTGATAAGAGAAGAGGGAGAACGGACGAAAGCTCTCTGCCGAAACTCAATGACAGGCGCAAGGTTCTCGAATCGAATGTCTTCACTTATCTGGCCTTGGAACTAACATTTATCATGGATGAAATTTGTTTCACAATGAATTGGACCTAATCTTCACAGTATCTCCTGAGTGTCTGAGTTCTTAGGGGAACCTCTAAGCATGGGCCACCACTGTGGTTAGATGAACTATCACCAGATTACAACCTCGGAGGCCCAAATAGAGGTTATTCAGGTCTCAGACTGATCTTATGCTCTGGATGAAGCAATGGACTTTGATGTCTATTAGCCACTTTGACTACTCAACACACTTCACTTGACTCAACAGCAAGCTTTGTAGTTCGCAGCGGAGAAGCAGTCATGCCTGTAAAGCTACATTATGCTTGGTCGTTACTTAAGAGGCTACAGTAGGTAAAGCGAGCATTTGAAGAGTTACATTAATGATCTAAAGCCCTTGGCTATGATATGTGGGAGTGATGCATAGGAAAGAAAAAAAAATGCAGACCTAATGGGTAGTTGATCATCATGAATCGCGGGTCTTCCGCCTTTACATAGCGACCGGATCACGGAAGAATGAGCTAGGTACCATCAGCCTTGCTAAGCCTTGCGGCTCAACCTTATTTTTAAGATGGGAAAGGTATATAAGGCGAACTAGTGCTCAAAAAGGGCGAAGTCTATTCTGACACATTTGTACGGACGAGTCGACCAAGTTTCATCGCGTCTCTAGACAGCTTGGCACGAGCGCATCCTGCCATAGCTGGCCCCCCTTGCCCCACGAGGTGTAAACTCGTCCTGAACTCTGACTGGCTCTGTCTCAAAAGACACAAGGATCCATCAAACTTGCTAAGACAACCTCCTGCCGGGCATCTGTTCAGGAGCACAATGCAATCAAACTAGTCGTGTGTCGCAGGATGATATGCTTTTTGTACGCGGCGTGAGGTATATGCTTATGATCTGCGGACGTTCCACGAACCGAAAGGCTCGGCATAGGATCTACTGAGGATCTTAAAGAGATCTCTTGCCCTTTTCTTAATTGCGTCCCACGGTCTTGAGTCTTTTAGTAAATAATTCCTTTCTGCATTATAACTTCGATCTTACTAGTGCCGGACACTCTTTTTACACACATTCACCCTCGTCACTCATTTAACAACCTCTTCCTCTCTTTCAAAAACAAATCAAAATGTGGACTTCCGTTGCTGCCGTGTCTATTTTCGCTGCTGCCGCCTCGGCCCATGGCAATATCACCTCGCCGCCAGCCAGGCAGGCTGGGGTCGCCATGGCCACGTTATGCGGTCAGACAGCGGTTGACAACGTGAACGCCGATCCTACGATCCCTATTGAAGATCTGGGAACCATCAATGCTGGCTGTAAGTGGACCCTGTCAAGAAGGCCAAACACATTTTACAAACGTTCAAAATTCGATGAGTATGAGCGTTGAAATACTGACATCCAATTTCTCTCAGGCAACGCCTTCCTCTGCCGTGGAGCGCAGTTCGAGGACAACGCAAACAATGTACAGCAGTTCCAGGCAGGCCAGACGGTTGATATGGAGGCTGCCATCCCCATCCCTCATGTGGGCCCCATGAATGTGTCCATCGTCAAGACGGCGACGAACACTGTGCTTGGGTCGCCGCTCATCTCCTTCGACGTCTATGCGGATGAGTCGCTTGCCACACTACCCCCGAACAACACGGCATTCTCTGTGACTATGCCCAACGTGACGGCCGGCAACTGCGCGGTAGCTGGAGACTGTGTTCTACAGTGGTTCTGGTTTGGAGAGAAAGCGCTGCAGACCTATGAGAGCTGTGTGGACTTCGTCATGGTCTAAGCAGTCCCGCGTGTCGAGGTGCAAAACGTCCCTGGTCAAGTCTTGTGTATGGGTAGACATCTATAGAATGTATAATGGCCGACGCCCTTGATAGTTTACTATCTTCAAATGGGAAGTTATTCGAATTTCTTTCCATCGACAGTCTCGTACCGTCTCTTGCAAGGTTTGCGAGAAATTTGAAGTGACATGCGAACAAGCCAGCTGGTTGTGAGATCTCAAAAGGGAAAATGCACTTTCTCATCTTGCGTATTGATTTACGGCACCTCTAAATGATCCGCGGATCCCCAAAAAACTTCCATTAGGGCAATTTTGATACCCTCTGGCAGAACCGAACCACTTCCCCAGGAATGTTCTATATATGACCCAGACCTTCCCATTTTATCTATGCTTCACAATCCCGACCAACTCCATGCAAATGCCTTTAGAGAATCCTTTAGGACTCGTTGACGAGAACGTAACGGTAACGAGCCTTGCCAGCCTCCAGGTCGACGACGGCCTGGGTGGCGTCCTTCATTGGGCGCTCCTGGATCAGTCCCTTGATGTTGTGCTCCGTCACAAACTCCAGCATGTCTCTGAGGTCCTGGGGAGACCCAATAACGGATCCCTCAAAGTTTAAGCGGTTGTGAATGACAACAGCGCCGTTAAGCTGGAACACACCATCGTCGGGCAAGCCGACCTGAGTAAAAGAGCCGCCCTTCTTGAGCAAACAGAGGTACTCCGTAAGAGGAACCTGTCATGATCAGCCATTCGTTCTTTCAGGATTCCCACCAAACTTGGGGAGCGACGGGTAGTCTTACATTAGCAGAAGCGACTGTCGAGATGATCAAGTCAAGGCTCTTTGCGTGCTTCGTGGCCCAGTCCTTCTCGTCAGCCGTGGCAATGTAGCCGTCGGCTCCGAGGCTCATGACCTCTTCCCTCTTGCTCTCCCGTCGGGAGATACCAACAACGCGAGCGCCAAGGGCCTTGGCGTAGAGCACACCATAGTGACCGAGACCGCCAACGCCAACGATACCCACAGACATGCCAGCCTTGACTTTGTGTTGCTTCAAGGGTCTGAACATGGTCACACCGCCGCACAGCATCGGTGCTGCCTGGGCGGAGTCGAGGCCGTCGGGGATCTTGACGACAAAGTGACCCGGGGATCTGTGGTGCGTCGCGTAGCCTCCAGTGTTGATGTCGCCGTTGAAGTGCTTGCTGTTGTAGGCCCACACGATCTGGTCGCAGTAGTTCTCCTCGCCAATGTCGCACTCAGCACACTTGCCATTTCGGCTCAGGCAGGAGTCGCCCTGTGCACCAACGCCCACGCGGTCGCCAACCTTGATACCGGACTTCACCTCGGAGCCCACTCTGACGGCGACACCAACAATCTCGTGGCCGACGGTAAGAGGCCAGCTGGTGGCACCCTTTAATTTTTTTTTTCTCAAAGTTAGTTTACCGCCCTAGTGGTGCTTACGTGACGATATGACTCGGTCCCTGGACTTACCCATCCGTTGCTAAGAAAGTGCAGGTCAGATCCGCACATGCCACAGTGAGTGATCTTGATATCAACGTCGGTCTCCTCCCATGCCTTGGGCTTGATCTCCTGCCACTTCATGTTGCCCTCAATGGCAGAGGGGTCGTGGGCAGTCCAGCCCTCGAACTTGTAATCTGTGGTGCTTCCCATTTTGTTTTGAATTATTTTGTTGAATGAATTTTGAGAAGAATAGATACAACGGCGTTTTGGAGTGTCGTGATTCGAGGTATGAGAGATTGCAATGCGAAGTTGCGAGAAAACAAAAAAAATTCGCTAGTGCAGTGAATTCCCAGGACGAACTATATATCCCTCAAAACCTCACGCATAGCTTATGAATCAAAATCCAAAAAACTCAAAAAGACCCGCCTTCGATAGTTTCAGAAAGCGCTTGCTTCGTTATCCATCATCCCTTTCTGGCCCCGGGGTGGGCGCCGCGACCGCGACATGGCGACCTCGGGACCCCACTAAAGAAGGTAGGCTTTTGATCAGATTCTTCGGCTCGGATCCACCAAAGGGAAGTACCGCGGTACAGAGTTTGAGAGGGTATCACGGCGTGTAGTTTCTTCGAGAATGCCGGGACGGACGACTTGCCTCATTGACTCGGAGCTTGAGATAAACAAAAAATCAAGGCATATCACCAAACATGAGTGGGTGCAGAAATATTACTGGAGGACGGAAAGTCTTACACACACTTTACTTTGAGGGCCGGGAAGCCCGGGTCCTGGCAGCAAGATATCGATCGGGTCGGTGACGTCGGCCGGGTTCGCATTACTTGGCTGACGACGCTGTGAACCGTGCACACCTACTGCAAGATTCGCTGCGTCGGACTTGTTGTTAGTCGCGAGCTGTTGAATGTTACCTAAGGAGCCTCGAGTCACGACCTGCAAGGGCTGCCAACTA